GGCCCGGACACTTGGCTGCCTCCAACCAGGAACCTCTTGAGCCTCCACATCTGGCCCCATCTCTCTGAGCTACAGCTTCTACTCCAGGCCTCTTGGGCTCCCTCTGCTCTTGAGCAATGTTCTTAAGAGCTTCCTGCCTGGCTATTGACCCAGGGCAAGCACCGGAGGGGCAAACTGGACCCTCCTAAGCCAAATACCCCCACGCCATCCTTACCTTTCCCCCCCAGGAAACTCCTCTGTTTCTAGGACACTTGGTTGGCCTTAGTCAGAAGTGTTTACATGAAACAAAGAGGAAACTAAATGCCAGAGAGTCTGAGGCAAGGATGTAGGGCTGAGATTCCTGGAGTGGCTATAGGGCAGCCCTGTCCAGGGGATGTGCCGTGGCCTCTGGGCAGGGACTGGGGCACGGCTGATGGTTCAGGAGAAAGAAACCGTCCTCTGCAGCTGCAGAGCACTCAGGCCAGGCCCCACGGGGCAGGGCAGGCCAAGGAAAAGCACACTACATGACACTGGGGCAGACGGGGCTGCCAGAGGAAGGACAGCATTAGCTCCTGGCCTTCACTGGGTGATCAGTTTATCTGATGGCCGAGGAGCTCTCTAGGCTCTGGGAAGTGTTCTAACACTCACGGTGCTGTCCGGGCAGGAATTAGTACTATGATGAAAATGGTTGGACACAGGGTGGTCAAGTGATACCCTCAAGGTCACACAGGAATCTGTGTTGGCCTCAAGCTCTCGTCAGCACGGCAAACACGGTTGCCATCACGAGAATTGACCAAGAGTGTGTGTAAATGTGTGACCAAAGGTTGGGAACCCTGTGAGTTGCACAAAGGCTTGAGAAGGGGGCACTGAAATGTGCTTGTAGTTTAGTGTTCAACAAATTGTGTCCGGCATGAATACAATCAGGCCTGGCTGAGCAGGAGAGGGGATCGGAGGATGGCTGCCTGTAGGGCTCTATTGATCAGGGTAGTCTAGCTGTTGTAACACAGAGCCCTGGAGTCCACTGGCTTTCCACAAGACATACTGATTTCTTACCCATGACACAGTGTAGAGCAGGTTGGCCTTGTTGGAAGGAGGGAAGAAAAGAGGGAGGGAGGGAAGGAAGGAGGGAAGGAGGAAGGGAGGAAAGGAGGGAAGGAGGGAAGGAAGGAAGGAAGGAGGGAGGGAAGGAAGGAAGGAAGGAAGGAGGGAGG